TTAATTGCCCTAATATATGGGGTTTGAATCGGTTGAATCGGTCTGTGTTCTTGTCTTATGGGTTTGAATTGAATCGTTGAATGTGTCTGTTTACGAGGAATTGAAGAAAATCTTGAATCTTTTATTGAATTAAGATTGTACAGGGATTTGGTTAATTTCATGAAAGTTTGGTAGGTCATAAACCCTAATTTTATACTTTTGTGTGTGCAATTTCTGTGAAAGAAACGTTCTTTTGCTTGTGGAATGTGGTAATGTTCAATGTGTTTGCATATTGAATTTGAAGTTTTGTTTTCTTTGCTTAGTTTGGGGTTTAAGGAAAGATTAACTCTTTTCATGGCTGATTTCGTTTGATCTGATTAGAGAATCCTTTTAGTTTCTTCTGATTCCATGGCGCTGCTGACTTTATATATTTTTTCCTACAAGGGTTCCTAACGCTAAATCCGGTCGAGATTCAACTGATATTGAAATATATGGAATGCAAGGAATTCCTGCCGATGTCTTAGCTGCTCACTACGGAGAAGAAGGTACGGAGTTGAGATGTTGTTCGTTTATTCCACAATGGTCATGAACTATCTTGACAGAAGAATCCTCATTGGCTTTGCAAAAGTGATTATATTCTCACTTGCTTAATTCGTATGGTACCTTTTTAACCGAAGTTATGTTTTATGCAGAGGAAGAGTCTCCAGCCAAAGTTGCAAAAGTTGAAATTCCTTCTGCACCTCTCGGTGTTGCTGTTCCGAGGCCATATGGAATGGTATACCCACCTCAACAAGGGCCTGGTGCTGTGCGACCAATGTATGTTTCCTTATTACACTATATTCGTTTTAACTCTGTGATTTGTAGAAATTTTTAGATGTCTTGAAGGCTGGGCTCTTTCGCTTTCTTTTTATCGTTTCCTGGTCCAAAATTTGATGCATTCGACCAAATATCACCTGGCATTGTTCTGTTGAAAGCCACAATAATACTTGTAGCAAAAAGTTATTCGTGGGTTTCTTATGTAAGGCATTGTAATATTTTCTTGCTATTGATTATGTTAACTGTTTTGTGACAACAGGTATTATCCCGGTGCACCTATGCGTCCTCCTGGTCCTGGATGGCCTATGCCTCCTCGTCCACAACAATGGTATCCGCAAAATCCAGCGATTTCTGTTCCTCCACCTGCCCATTTAGGGTACCGACCACAACCACTTTTTCCGGTTCAAGGTATGGGGATGACTATGCCAATGTCATCTCCTGTTGTACAACAACCTTCACCAGTCAGTGGAGTCACTCCTCCTGGGATGCTTTCATTGTCACCTACAATGTCGGTTCCTCAACCTCTGTTTCCTGTTGTGAATAGCAGCATTCCTCCTCAAGCTTCATCGTTTTCTGCTCCTCTGCCTGTTGGTGGGGCTCAGCAACTGTCTCCTGCTGATGCATTAGGATCAGTAAATTCATTTCCGCCTAACAACTCTATTCCAGGTTTGATCTTAAGTTCTTATATTCATTGGCTTGCATTTTGAATCAGCTGTTTGTGTCAAAATGTAATGTTTTGTTTTGTGATGTGTTGCAGTTGGTGGGTCTAATTCGCATTCGTATGCCTCTGGTCCAAACACCAGTGGTCCTTCAATTGGTCCACCTCCTGTAATTGCAAATAAAGCTCCTACTACTCAGCCTAACGAGGTCTACCTTGTATGGGATGATGAAGCGATGTCTATGGTTAGTTTCCTCATATACATGTTGTAATGCTGTCGTTTGAAGAATTGCCAATCACGAAATCATTTGGGTTTTCGATCTGACTCGTTTCTCTGTTTCTGCAGGAGGAAAGAAGAATGTCCCTGCCGAAATACAAGGTGCATGATGAAACGAGCCAGGTAAGTTCTGATTTACCCTTTTAAAGTTAAGCAGAGTTTCCATTGCACGTCTAACCCATTCGGTAGGCTGTGTTTATACCTTTTTAATTTCAGATCCTATTGTTTCTGTGCTAAGAGGTACCTCTATAAATTCAGTTTATAATTTTCTTCCCTTAGAATATGAAAAGAAGTAGATAGGCAAGAAATTTGAGCATGTTTAATCGTTAATGTTCGAAAGGTATCATCAGTAGCTTAAGTAGTATCTGCTCGTCTTTCATTCTGTTTACTCTTATCTCTTGTATTGTATAAAACTGTGGTGATATGGTTCCACGAGATCATACTCGACAGGTTTGGTTTCAAACCCAGGTCAGCTCCTTTTATATTTTTAACTTTGCAAAGTTTGGTACCTTTGCCAAATCAAGATCTCGGGGAATCAAAAAAGAAATCTCTTTTTAAGTCTTTCATGATAAAGCATCCAACTTTTTTTACTCAGAACCGAGTTTTTGCTTATTGTAATTGTTGCAGATGAACTCGATAAACGCAGCCATAGACAGAAGAATCTCAGAGAGTCGGCTCGCTGGGCGGATGGCATTTTAGAGTTTGGCACCAAACCCAACCCTTGTCGAAGAAACCTCGCAAGAATCTATTAGAAAGGCGATGAGTGATGGATGGGCTTTTGTTACAACTCTTTGACTCACATTTATTCAGATTTTCAGAAGCTGAAATTGTGATCTACTTTTAAGTTGTTATCTTTTGTATTCTCTAGCCAGGTTAGTTAGTTTTCGTTTGCATTATTTAGAGATCTCAGGAATGTTTTTTTCCCAAAAGTTTAGCCTTTTTTATGACTTTGGAGACTTGGTGGAAGAACTTGGGTCTCTTTTTTCTTCTGAAATTATGAATATTATGTAATACAGGATTCAACCAAAAAATGCTTATTGTCTCTTAACTCAAACATACCATATTGTTTTACAAAAGTTGTCTCTTTCTCAACAATTGGTGACACATATAGAGGAACTTGGGGCTTCTCTATCTTCCTAAGCACTTCACTAAAGTAATCTCGGTCATTCCTTAGCTTCTTCGATCGTTTGTATAGTACTCCTAGAATCACTCTCAAAATGAATTTGCTCAAAATCATGATTATCAAAGTCCACACAAGAACAATAGCTTCCGCATCCGTACATGACTACGACCAAGGGTATGGTTTTGGTCCATACCACTTAACACTTGTTTTATCATCTCGTAACACCCAAACCTATCTCGCAAATTTGATCTCAAAATTGGAAATTTCTCTCAATCTATCGAATACAAAGTTAGGTATGTAAAATGAGATTTAGTAAAAACTGAAGGGGCTATGTCCAATTTAAAGTTACTTTCTTTCCCCACAAACGAAAAACGAGACATGAAGGAAACCTCTAAAACCCTCGAGTCCTCTTTCTCTTACATTTCATCAAATTCGCTACTTTTTCGCCATTGTTAGCTAAAAAAATGAAAGCTTTTAAATCTCTACGAATTCTAACTTCAATTTCACGAACTACAACAACAACTCGCAAAACCCATCTTACCCAGAACTTCCTCCGCCGGTTTTACTCGGCGCAACCGAATCTAGACGAACCCAGTTCCGTCAACGAAGATGGTTCAATCAGCGACTCTGTTTTCGATAGCAGTCAATACCCAATCGATGATTCTCATGGAGATTCGGTGAAAAAGATAAAGGAAGCTACTTGGGATAAAGGGTACAGAGCAAGAGTAGAGAAAGAGTTGTTTAGGAATGAGACTGAGAAAGGAAAATTGAAATTCCC